GAGATGGCCAAAGTATTGGAGCCTCAGCTTCACGATCTGTCCTTCCAGTGAGCACTCAGGGCTGATTTCCTTCAGAATGGATAGGTTTGATCTTCTTGCAGTCCATGGGACTCTCAAGAGTCTCCTCCAGCACCATAGTTCAAAAGCATCAATTCTTCGGCGATCAGCCTTCTTTATGGTCCAGCTTTCACTTCCATACATCACTACTGTTAAAACCATGGCTTTAACTATACGGACCTTTGTTGGCAAAGTGATGTGTCTGCTTTTTAAGATGCTGTCTAGGTTTGTCATTGCTTTTCTCCCAAGAAGCAGGCGTCTTTTAATTTTGTGACTGCTGTCACCATCTGCAGTGATCATGGAGCCCAAGAAAGTAAAATCTCTCACTGCCTCCATTTCTTTCCCTTCTATTTGCCAGGAGGTGATGGGCCCAGTGGCCATGATCTCCCTTTTTTTGATGTTGAGCTTCAGACCATATTTTGCACTCTCCTCTTTCACCCTCATTAAAAGGTTCTTTAATTCTTCCTTCATGGATCACTACCTTGCCGTGGCAAAGGGGCTTGAATAACTCAGAGAAGCTATGAGCTATGCCGTCCAGGGCCACCCAACATGGACAGGTCATAGTGAAGAGTTTTGACCAAACATGATCCACCTGGAGCAGGAACTGGCAAGCCACTCCAGTATCCCTGCCAAGAAAACTCCATGGACAAAGACAACAAGCAGACATGGCCTGGTCTCAGTGCCTAGATGGGAGACTCCCTGGAAGTTATGTGTTGAGTCACACTGAGCTTTCAAACGTAAGAGTTTGAATTAAAGTGAATGAATGAATGAATGAATGAATGAATGAATGAAATACTGATCTCAAGAGCAATTTGATGTACACATTAAAATGACTGCCAGTTTCATTTCTGTCCACCCGGTGGTCAAAATACTTGAGAAAGTGTTGAAAAAGTTTGGGATTTGAATGGAATTCATATATAATGCACAGGTGCATTTTGGAAGACCGAGAATGAAGTCTGAGAAGAAAAGCTGTTAGAAAATGTTTCCAAGCTCATTTCAGAGTGGGGAGAAAGAAGACATTGTATACAAGCTGAATGTCTCTAAAAGCCTGGGCCTGAAATCTACAATGCCAACAAATGAGTGCTGAGGGTCTCTTGTTACTCCTCAACAACATCAAAACCAGCTAGAAGGCACCATCATCACAAGATATTCCTGGCTGCCACGTGAGTGCCACATGCAAAATCAATGCCACTAGTTCAAGAACAGTTACTAACAGCAGATGTGGCATAGCAGCATTGCACAAAGTTGTTTCCATTGCACAAAATTGCACATCAAAGGGTATGGAGCTAGAAAATTGCAGGATCGCCTTATAAACATAATCGAGGCATGTTGTTATCCTTTATTTATTTAAATTATAAATGACTTCCCATAAAATATCCCAAAAGTGATCTAACAATAAAAAACATGTATTTTAAAAAAGCAAGCCCAATACAGACGGAGATTAAAATCCCCACTCAAAAGGCTTGTTGAAAAAGGAAGGCCTTTGATGGGGGTCAAAAAACTGGAGTCAGTGCCTGTCTGATATGTAATGGGCAAGAATTCAAGAGGGTAGGTTTTGCCACCCTGTAGGTCTGATTCCTACGTAACACGGAATGGAACGCTTGATGAGAGATCTGCAGATCCCCTTCTGCAGAAGGCGGTGAGAAGGGGTGGGATGAGCTTTTGCCTTCTAGAAAGCTTCAGCACCAACCCATGTGCCTGATGTACTGATTGGGAGTCTTAGTAATCAGACAAGGATTCACTATACCTTTCCAGCCACATTTTCCCTCAAGAACAGAGAGGGGGGAGGGGGGATCCCTCTGCTGTTATTACCATTATCTCTCTGTATAAAACAGGTTCCTTCTTGTTCTTCTCTTACTCGGTTTCCTAGTTAATTCTGAATAATATACTACTCTACTAAACGTACACTCCCGTATCTGAGATCAGAATGTAGCACAGGATGTGCTCTTTGGCCTGGCGGTCTATAATATCAGTGAAAGATGGGCTAGCAGAGATCAATAATTTATGCTGAGACGGAAGGCAAAAACTCAATCAAGTGCCTCGTCAATTATGTAGTGATTATATCTACAGGGAAAGAGAAGGAATGGCTTCCTTCTATCATGTGGTGCCACACACTGCTCCGATCTAATCTTTTACTCTCAACAATAGTAGCCATCTGCCAACTTCACAGTTAGACACAAAAACACTCTTCATTCCCGCTTGTAGTGGCCATTGTTAGGTATGTCCGGCCTTACATTGGGGACATTGCTCCAGTTCATGCAGCTGCCAGCTTCTAGAAGTTATTCTAGTTAGAGGACCGTGTTCCCAGCCATTAAGCTCTTAGCTAGTGACCCAGGCATTAATAATAGTAATAATTTTAATAATGATAATTTTGTTATTTATTTCCCGCCCATCTGGCTGGGTTGCCCTAGCTGACCTGGGCAGCTTCCAACATATATAGAAACATAACAAAACATCAAACATTTTATTAAAAACCCTCTCATAACCCTATACAGTGGTACCTCGGGTTACTTATGCTTCAGGTTACAGACTCCGCTAACCTAGAAATAGTACCTTGGGTTAAGAACTTTGCTTCAGGATGAGAACAGAAATCGTGCTCTGGCGGCGCAGCAGCAGCAGGAGGCCCCATTAGCTAAAGTGGTGCTTCAGGTTAAGAACAGTTTCAGGTTAAGAATGGACCTCTGGAACGAATTAAGTACCGTATTTTTTGCTCTATAAGACCCACCAGACCACAAGACACACTTAGTTTTTGGAGGAGGAAAGCAAGAAAAAAAATATTCTGAATCTCAGAAGCCAGAACAGCAAGAGGGATCGCTGCGTAGTGAAAGCAGCAATCCCTCTTGCTGTTCTGGCTTCTGGAATAGCTGCATAGCCTGCATTCGCTCCATAAGACGCACACACATTTCCCCTTACTTTTTAGGAGGGAAAAAGTGAGTCTTATAGAGCAAAAAATACGGTACTTAACCCGAGGTACCACTGTATGTATTTGAATATTTCCAAAGCTGACATCTGAGCTAAAGGTTCCCTGTTCATAAGAACATAAGAAAAGCCCAGTTAGATCAGACCTATCTAGTTCAGGGTATTCCAGGTGTGGTTGCGCCAGAGATATGTACAAAGGACTTACCCACTCTTACTGTTTGCCCCACTCTTTCCAGGCACAGATCTACGCTTAAGAGCTCATTGTCTGAGCATGTCTTATTTTAATTTTGCCCTGAAGCTTTCCCCATGAAAACCCACTCTTTAGCACTCAATCAGATCAAGCATCAATTTGGGTTTTCCACGGATAGCTGTTTGCTTCAATTGAGCTTCAAACAGTGGGTTCTCACAGGGGAAACTGGAGAAAAGAAAAGAAAAGAAAAGAAAAGAAAAGAAAAGAAAAGAAGGTGCTAGGACATGGAGATTTAAACCATGGGCCATGCCTGGAAAGAACAGAGGAAAAGTAAGTGCAGATGAGCCCAAATGCAATGAATATGATATTGGTGCTTTTATTTCGGATCCCTTTCCTAATTTCATTTCATTTCACTTTTAATTTGTGTTCTGCCTTTCAATATTGCTGTACACACATTGGTTTACGAGCCGAGGAAACTTCAAAATATACAACCAAGATCACACCACTTATATCAATCCAACACAATGCAGAAAATAGCAATAAAAAGATGACTTTAAAATAACCTATATCAAATAAAATAATATTCAATACTCCCTTAGAATATAATAGTACACAGTAAAAACTCTCAAAATATCAGCAAATATCAGAGAAATTCACTCTCAACTAATAATCCCTAGTATGAAATTCATCTTTTTCACAGCTTTCGCCCATTGGGTTGATATTTTTAGTAAACTATGCCAGGACTCTTGGTCAGTCATTGCCAGCTCAAATCCTAATTAGTGTGCATGTGAAATTACCATGTATTTATATATTTTTGCCTCAATGTGCATTACTTTATGCTTACTTACATTGAATCACATTTGCTATTTTACTACCCATTCACCCACTCTGGACAGATCATTCCAGAGCTCAGGCCTGCTTTTTCTGAATCCACTTGTTCTCAAGGAAGTCGGGTCTCTCCCATTCTTCTGTCTCAGCTCCTTCACCCTAGTTCATTTCAATCATGGATAAACTCTCAGCTTTTGATCTTGGCTTTGCTCTGTACTATGAACTAGAAGCCTCCTCCCTATTTGCTTATCTGACCTTTCTATGAACTTGCCCTCCAGCTTTGATCCTGTCAACAATCCTCTTCTCTGAATGGGCCTCATTCTGTGTAAATATATAATGCTTTGAGTAGGGATGGATGTATTTGTCCATTTAAGTAATTCTTAGTTTCTCAGTTTTAAGTTCAGTTCTCTACATTTCCTCATTATTTTGAATTTATTTTTTAAAAAATCTCATGAAAATTCATTAGCATTTTAATGCAAATTGTCCCTAATATACACATTTTTGCAAAGCTATTTCCCCCATTATAATGCCATTTTATATGCTATTTTTAATTAACTTACGCATTTTTTATGTATGCTTTACCCTAGCATATGCATTTATCTGAGTGGAGAACAGCACTGTGAAATTTGTAGATATGCAAATTTCAAAGGATGGTTTTGTTTCAGTGGGCATATTGCTTGGAAAAGTGAAAATTAGATAGGTTCATCATTAAATGCTAAGTGAACCAAGCTTCTCCCTCATATCTAGCATTCAGAGACTGACTAGAGCATCCGTAGCTAGAAGCAATTCAAGAATTAAGTCTGAAACTTGTTGCTTACTATAATCTTTTCTGGCTATCTGCCCCATACCACAACAGAAGCAACTACACAGACATGCAGTGACAATTCAGCTGAACTATCAAGTATCCTCTTAATGTTGGCTTTCTTGCTGTATCCCACCATCCCTGGAGATTTGTCAGTGCAGCAGGGTTGCCACTTCAATAAATGATTAGTTTGTGTTTTTTCTACCTCACAGGAGTATTTATTTTCACTTCCATTCGTCTTCTGGTTTGATCAAGCTACCTGGATTCCGCCTCAACCTTTTTCACAAATAAGCTCCTTGTTCTTTGATGCTTTGCCTGTAATCATGCAGGAGGTTTGCTTCTGTCCTCTGATGTAGTTGGTAGCAAGCTCTGTGAGGAAAAAAGTGTGATGCCCTCCTGCAAAGATTTTAAGAGTTCACATGGCAACAGGGCACAGAAACGGATATGATGGCAGAGTGCTTGGGACGTTGTATGTTCACCTCTAAATTCTTTTAAGTCACCATGGATTGAAGAACTGGTGATATTCTCCACAGCGGTGAAGACCAGGACTGGAACAAAAGGATTCAGGGATTCTGTCAACACGATTGTTGAAATTACTTTGTAAGTGAGGGCAATGACTTAAGAGATCAGTGGCTACAGGAGCCAGCAGTGGTAGGGATGGGGAGTAGTCGAGGTCAATCAAAGTACAGAGTCTGCACAAAGAGGATGCTAAGGCAAGGAGGAAACTTTCACAAGGCATAGTTCAGTCTGTGCCAGGATTTAACCACTGGTGTCACTGCAGAATTTTTATAACAATTTCATAATGAAAAATGGAAGGGAAATGGCTGAGTGATTTCAGCCTCGTTCCCTAACCTGCCAAGTTTCAGATTCCATCAGTCTCCAGGTTCCAACAGCCCCAGTAAACTGATGATCAGGGATTATGGGAGTTGTAGTCTAGAAACATCTTTTCTAGAGGGAATCATGTTAGGGAAGACTGGACAGGGAGTGTTAACTGAGGATATGTAGGTTCATCTCACTACCACAGGTGTCAAATATAGCCTGACCCCTACCTGTTGCCAGCAGTCTGACAAAGCCACTTTCAAGCATCCACTGTATGCTACAAAATGGATCCCTGCTTATTGTCTGGACTGGCCATTGTCCAGTCATGATGTGGGTCTGTTGTCAAAGCTTCAGATTTGCACACAGTGCAAATAGTAGCCATAAAATGCATTAAAGTAGCCATATAGTATGTGATCACAAAAACAGGTCTAGAACGGACCTAACTATAAATAGGCCGGTTCAATATGTTTGCCAGTCACACCCTCCAGGCCTCGATTCTAAACTGGAGGCTTCCTTCAATGGGTCATAAGACATTTATAAGACATTTGGGGCAACTTTTCCTTTTAGAGTGGGGGTGGCCAACTCTATTCCCTCTAGATGTTGCTGGACTACAACTATTGCACTAGCCCCTGGCAATATGGTCAATGGTCAGGGATGATGGAAGCTGCAGCTCAGCAACAGCTGGAGGGCACCACGTTGGCCAACCCTGCTTTAGTAGCGACTTCTGCATGAGGGAAAGCTCTGTCTTCTCACACACCCCACTTTCAAAATAATTCAATATGAGCCAAGAACAAAAGGCCAACACTAACTAAATGGCTTTGTGAATTATCTGAGAATCACATAGCATAAAGGTTCACAGATTGCTCACCAGATTCATCCGGATGCTTGGTCCCCACTCACTTGATCCTTCCACTGCTATGTCTGCCCTGCTGGCATCCAGGTGCAGAGAAAGTGTTGGAAGGGAGCTCAGGATTTTCCTCTTGTGAGTAAGAACTGCACGCCTCCAAACTATCTGGTGTGCAGGAGTTAAGATACGGCATTTCCATCCCCACTCCTGAACGCAGACTTTGGCTGGTCCCCCAGCTCTTGTTATGCTGGATGGTTGTAGAGCGTAGGAAATCTTGCTGTTTAAGACCCTGCCATTTTTAGTAATGACTCTGCAGTGGCACCGGACAGAGACATATGGTTTACAGTAGAATATCCATCTCACTAGATCTGTTTTCCATGGTTATTTATCACATTTGTCCTTCTCTAACGGCACAACCATCGGTTATACAGAATGTAAAAAGGGGAAAGCAATAAAGCTGCCGGGATATTGTACACCAGTGTTCTTGTCTCTTACACAGAAACTGCCAATAGCTGATCTAGCTCAGGATTCTGCCTCCCACAGTGGTTACAATTGTCGGATGCTTCAGAGTAAGCTTGCAGGCTCCCCTTTGTACTATAACTTGCATATGCAGGAATTGAGGGCTATTCTGGCATAGAAGAAACTATATTCCTGCTCATCAGATGGTATCCTTGAATGAAGAAGTCTAATAATAAAGGTAAGTCACAGTGTAAACTACTGCAGTTTTTAATTACGCCGAGACAGACTTGTCAGGCCCATGCTCCCAAACCGATTTGGCTTTCAGATATCCTGTATCTAAACATGTGGCATAGAATATTGAGCCACTATTATTAATACACTTACCAGAAAGTAAATTTCAGTGAATGCAGTGGGACTTAGATCTCTATGCAAACCTTGCGTCCGATTGCATTGTTGGCCTACGATTGGAGTCTGATCTTGTTTTACAATGAGATGTGTGCCTGAAAGTTGGAGGTTGTACACACAGAAGAGAATCTTGCTAGCTGATTGCCACCCATTAGTGTATAACTTAAACCTCATTGACAATTATATGTTCAAGTCAATCCCAAATAGTCAACATCAGGCATGAAATGGAAGAATTGTGTGCTTATGTTGGTTTGAGGTAAGAGTGACTTTGAGCATGTAAAGAATGTTCTTCCTACATCCCTGAATCATTTCACTCACTTCTCTACATTGTCAGTAAGGGGCAGAGGACGTGACCTCCATGCAATGCCAGCTTTAAACAGAGAGAGTGTGTCTAGTTTGCCTGCCCTGCTATATCTCAGCCCGAAACAAGCACAACTGAAACAATGGCACATTCCTTACCTGTTTTCTTCTGCCTCACTTCCCTTCCCTTCCCTTCCTTTATGGATTCTTCTGTGTTGCATTGTCAACTGTGTGTTCCTTGGGGCAGGGACCTGTCTTCTTGTTGTCTGTACATACACGATACACACCAATGGAAACATCAGATTCATGTGTATTTCCCACCCCCTCTTTCTTTGCAACCAGTAGGTTGGGGGGACGGGACAAATTGTTCTTGCAAGGCCTGAACTGTGTATTTGCTTGCTATTTTCCGGCCTCCAGTATCCATTTCTCTGTTTAACAAATGTTTTAAAAATGAGCTGCAGTTCAAAGAGGGGATGGATCAGGAGGTGTATCATTTTGACAAGCCATTACCACTGTAGGTGGTACAAAAATGCCCAAGTCAGCACTGTTTCCATGAAGGCATGAAGCCTTGCTTTTGTAAACCAGCACTTGAAGAAGGGAAAGGAGGGGAGGTAAGAACATAGCATAAGAACATATGAAGAGCTATGCTGAATCACACCAAAGACCCAACAAGTTCAGCATCCCTTTCAACATGGGTGAATATTATGATGAAAACACACTTTCAATGGCTATTGTGCATGATAGCTAAAAGGAGCACCCATGTTCAGAAGCAGTCTATCTCTTCAGTTTCAGATGCTAGAGACAAAGTGGAGGAGGGATGAACCTTCACATCCTGCTTTTAGGCTTCCTAGAGGCATCTGCCTGATCTTTGTTATAAACTAGAATGCTGGACTAGAATGTCCTTTGGTCGGATCCAGTAAGGCTGCTATGGCTCTTATGTACATAGAGGTGGGGAAGTTATTGAAACAGTTTCCAAGAAACTTCTAAAATCCAGACTTACCCCACAATGAGCAATGAGAACATGGCTATTAACCCATCTGCTACTGCTATAGCTAGAGCTATATTCCTTTATGCTTGTTTTATAAGTTTCAGGGATGAAAGGTTGACTCATCTAGTTCACGATGCATTGATTGGCAACCCGAAACTACTATGTACCTTTCTGCAGTTGATCAGTTCAGTTCAGTTGCCAAGCAGATGCCACCCCTATGGGAAGCAACAGAACTCTCCCCACTTGAGCTGTCTAGAAACTGCTATTCAGAGACATAATGCCTCTAATACAGGAGGGAGTACATAATCATAATGACTAGTAGCCATAGACAGCTTTATCCTCCTTGAATTTGTCTCAACCCTATTTAAAGCCATCCAAGTTAGTGGCTATCACAACATCTTGTATGAGTGAATTCCATAATTTCACCATGTATTACATGAAGAAATACTTCCTTTTGTGTATTCTGAATCTCCAGCATTCAGCACCATTGAATGATCCCAGCTTCTAGTACAGTGGTACCTTGGGTTACATATGCTTCAGGTTACATACGCTTCAGGTTAATAACAGACTCCACTAACCCAGAAATAGTGCTTCAGGTTAAGAACTTTGCTTCAGGATGAGAACAGAAATTGTGCTCCGGCGGCAGCAGGAAGCCCCATTAGCTAAAGTGGTGCTTCAGGTTAAGAGCAGTTTCAGGTTAAGTACGGACCTCCAGAACGAATTAAGTACTTAACCCGAGATACCACTGTATTATGAGAGAAGGAGAAAACAGGCTTTGCCACTGGTAGTCTTCATGTTTTTAGCAAAAATGTGTTCCTTTTTTTGCATCCCTTATTGCCTGCTTCCATGTCTTTTGCGAAATTCTATGTTTCTCTTTGTTCTCCACATTTGAACAACAAGAAGAAGAAGAGTTTGGATTTGATATCCCGCTTTATCACTACCCGAAGGAGTCTCAAAGCGGCTAACATTCTCCTTTCCCTTCCTCCCGCACAACAAACACTCTGTGAGGTGAGTGGGGCTGAGAGACTTCAAAGAAGTGTGACTGGCCCAAGGTCACCCAGCAGCTGTATGTGGAGGAGCGGAGACGCGAACCCGGTTCCCCAGATTACGAGACTACCGCTCTTAACCACTACACCACAAGACCTCCAATTTCTGAAGGAATCCTTCTTGACCGTAATGGCTTCCTCAACTCTGCTTGTTAACCACATTGGCATTCTGTTGGCCTTCCTGATCAATGATATGCATTCTAGCTGAACTTTTATTATTGTGGTTTTGAACAATCCCAAAGAACTGTGCAGAGATTATGGTACTTTTAACAGTACCTGAACATTTCCCCTTGTGATTTAAATAGCAGCTATGGGTGCTAAACTTCTTAGCCAGCACTGCAGCTAAAGCCCCAGTCCAATTTGGGCCCTATTCCCATGTCTATTTTTTATTTTTTTTAAAAAAAATAAGTGTCATAGATCTGATAACGGATCTCCCATCTAGTTTGGCCTTGTGTGCTTCAGGTTACACATCTGATGCCCGCGAAGCAACTTTGTATTGTGCAAACAAAATGTGTGGTTGACAACATGACTTTTTGTTGAAGCTGGGTGGTTCTTCCCCACTCTGTGAGTCTGAGTGAATTGAATTGTTTTGCCTGACTTTTGCAGAAAAAATCATGGAATCCCCACCTAGATGTTGTGCAAAGCAGTCAGAGCTTTCATTTTTCTAGGTTTGAATACTTGGAAGGCTGTCTTATTTAGCCCAGTTTCAAGCAGATCAGAGTCTGTCCTTGTTCTCACCAGCAGGAGCTGAGGTGACCTGATTGCACCACTTCAGCAATCCCCCACTCAATGATTCCTAAACATAGGAACATAGGAAGCTGCATTATAGTGAGTCAGAGTCTGGCTCACTATTGCATGCACTGATCAGCAACAGCTGTATAGGGTTCCAGGCAAGAGTCTCTGCCCTACTTGGAAACATCAAGGTTTGAACCTGGGACTTTCCACATGCAAGGCAGAGATGTTCTACTGCTGTGGTATGGTCTTCTCTCATAAAAAGATAGCATGGAATGGTCTTTTCTCATAAAAAGTAGCTTGCGTTCTGGCTAAGCCAGAACTCTTCTTCTTGACATTTATTTTTCTTTGTTCAGGGATTATGATTGTGATATTATGTTGTTGTTATTGTTAGAATCCAAGCATTCTATCATGTCAATTCCCATCTCCTGCAGCCTGAAGTGGTCCAGTCCACATCCAGGTTTACCAGTCCATCTGCCTGTTGTGAGAACATGGCCTCTATAAGGCAGAAGAGAAAGAAGAGGCTTTGCCAAGGAGCTGTCAAAAACTCATGCTAGATTAAGCAGCCGTTTGACTGCCAAGTGCTATTAGTGCAGCTTTTTCCCTATGATCTGGATGGAAAGGTCACCGTCTCATCACCTTCTTCTTTTTGGCACTTGAATAGAACTGCATTAGTGGTCCCTGGCACCTGGCCATCTCACTGCTTAACAAACTGGAAATCAATGGAAAATAGGAGATGCTTCGTGTGTGGTGCTTAGTTAGAAGGATCATGAAAGATAGTGCTGTTTGTTCTTAGGACCAGACAATCATCTGGTCCATTCCCCTGCCCCTGAGAAATGCCACCTACCACCACCACTGGGAGCAGCAGCTTCCTTGTAGAACAGTCTACATAAGCCAGCAAAGGCTACTACTCGGCCATTCTACTTACCACCAGTCAGGGTGGCCCTGCCTGTCAATGGCTCTGGCTCCATCCCTTGCTAGTCTCCTGGCCTACCATCCCACCAGTCCCAACAGGCATCACCCATCACTGCAGACAACAATATACCACTACCAGCTATTGTGATGTCAGTTAAAAGTAGGTGCTCAGAGTGACCATTGACACCATTCCTTATTGAAGGAAGTTAGGTGTACCTAAGGAATTTGGCTAGGTGTACCTAAGGAATTTGGCTATTTTCACTCTAATGGAAGAACTTTATTGGGGATGCCTGCTCTAGCAGAAGCCAGTGCAAGGGCTCCTGCTAGTACAACAGGACTTTCGCCCCTCTCCTGTCCCTGTGTGCCCTGTACATCCCCAAAATCCACTTTGGAGGTTCTGGAGAAGCCCCAAAATAGCATGTGGGGGGAGGAGAGGGGAGATAATTCCATCTGGCCAGCACAAATGCTTGTGCTGATGGAACGATCATCATAGTCTGACACTGAATTCCACCTATGGTCTCCATTCAAGAACAAAAAGGATATCTCTTCATTTGGCAACTATCTTCTCCTTCCACGTCTAGATAGAAAGTTCAGGGCAGCCTTTGCAGACTCAGATGCATATGTAGGGGAATGACTTGGGGGCATACAGTGTCTATAGGGAAGGAATGGCGCTGGGGCGACAGCAGGAAGCATAAGGAATGTTAGTCCTTGAGCCAAAGCAATGCAGACCTCAAGCATCAAGGAAGCACTGCCAAGCTTCTCCATCGATTAGCTAACCCAGCAAGTTCAATAAAACTCACTTTTCCCCCAGGCCCAGCCAGCAGCCCCTCCCTGTCTATGATTTCTCAGAGAGCCATATACATTCAGTATGGCTGGCTGGCCAAACGAGTTGAAGGCCACCTTGCTACTGTGAAATAGTGACTTGGCTCAAATGTCTGCCATTAATCAGAGGATCCTCTCGTTCCTAAACAGCTAAAGCTCCAAAAATGAAGGTGGTTTACTGCAGTGTTTTTTAAGGCCAGTGCATATATGAAAGATGGGGCTCCCTGCCCTGTCCTCTGACCCTTCACTGCACGCCAAAGAAACACCTTCACTCCTCTGTCTTGAGTTTCCAAAGGAAGAGCTAATAATGGTGCCAGGAACAAATAGAAATAATTGCAGAATAAACAAGAAATTAATACATACGTAATTATGTGTATAATTAAATTTCTTGTTTATTTCTCAATTAAACCTCATCACTGCTGTCAGGCCACAACTGTTCCAACAGGAAGAAAGTGTGCTACATCCATAGAAAATATGATCCACAATCACAGATAATTAGCAGAAATGACAATAAGAAAATAAAAAGAGCTTTCCTCACTACTACTAATTCTTAACAAGTACTGCCATAGGGCTAGTTCAGATGTTTTAACAGCTGCTTTTTTTCTCCATGCACAGCTGCCTCACCTAGTATATGAATCTGTGCATAAATGCTTGTGTGAACCAGGCACTCCTTGACTACAGCATGCAGCAACAGGGACACATTTCTGCCACCAAGCAGGGATAAGCATAGGAACATATGAAGAGTCTGCTGGATCCAGCCAATGGCCCATCTAGTCCAGCTTCCTGTGCAACCATAAGCATCCTTCTTGGTTGTTGTCTGGCAGGGATCTTTAAGAACACAAGAGTCCTGCTGGATTGGGCTAATGGCCTATCTCACATCTTGTTCTCACAGTGGCCAACCAGATGCCTATGGGAACCCAAAACAAAAACCCGAGTGCAATAGCGCTCTGACCACTTGTAATTCCCAGCATCTGGCATTTAGAGTCAGGCTGCCTCCAACAGTGGAGGTAGAACATAGCCTGCATGGCTGCTTTCATGGAGAGATAAAATATGTGGCTATTGGAACAGTGAACTAGTCCACAGGACTATAAGGAGGTGGCTAACCACCCAACAAGGGACGTGGGTGGCACTGTGGGTTAAACCACAGAGCCTAGGGCTTGTCGATCAGAAGGTCGGTGGTTCGAATCCCCGCGACGGGGTGAGCTCCCGTTGCTCGGTCCCTGCTCCTGCCAACCTAGCAGTTCGAAAGCACATCAAAGTGCAAGTAGATAGATAGGTACCGCTCCAGCGGGAAGGTAAATGGCATTTCCGTGTGCTGCTCTGGTTTGCCAGAAGCGGCTTAGTCATGCTGGCCACATGACCTGGAAGCTGTACGCTGGCTCCCTCAGCCAATAAAGCGAGATGAGCGCCGCAACCCCAGAGTCGGCCACGACTGGACCTAATGGTCAGGGGTCCCTTTACCTTTAACTGCCCAACAGGTGCAGGCAACCCCATATCAGATGACTCCAAGTTGATTCCGCCAGTCACACTTGTGTATTTGCCTTGCTTGGGTTGGTTCAAACATGTATGCAGCTCATTTGATTGTTCCACATGGGCGTTGGTTCCCATACGCATGTTCGTTATTTGATGACTGCAACACCAGCTCATGACTTGCACTTTAGAAATGTTTTGTTTTTTAAAAAAGCACAGCTAAACTTTTCACAGCAGCATATTGCTGCTCATGAAATGTGTTCACACGTTCATCAAGGGTACCATAATAAGCAAGCATAGGAAAACCAGGTGTTTCTCCACAAAATTCCTAGCACTTTGTCTGCCCCCACCCCGCCCAAGAAAAGCAGAAACCCATCTTCTCCTTTTGTTGGAATGAAAGTGAAGGGTGATTCCCTCCCCACCACAACTTTAAATTGCTACAAGTTCCATGGGTTGCCAAGGTGAGCACAAATTGCCCATTCTTTTCTCGGTGGGTGGGGTGGGGAGATGGAGGATGGGGAAGAGTATATCCATGGCTGCTGAAATATTTAGTTCTTTTGCAGCCCAAGAGAGAGTCAGATATTCAGCTGACGCAAGCAACTGTTGTACGATGAGGAGTAATATAATATTGCTAAAATGGCTGCTGCTGCTGCTGCTGCTGCTGCTGTAAGGAGAGATCCACTTCTGAATTCCCAAGTCAGCTAATCAGGTTCTTCCACTAGGACCCGCAACATCAGGCCTACTGCTTTTATAATGAAGAAGCCCCTAAATTGGCCTCTTATTACGTGCTTTGTTCTTCATGGTCACACTGGTGCCTTTCTTCTTCTGCCAGAACCCCAGAGAGGTTTACAGGCGAACACTGAAAAGAATAAGCACTTGCTTCTCTTTGCTAAAGCAGGAGTACCGGTAAGTAGCAGGTACAACTCTTAAATGCATTTAACACATTAAGGTGTGTGTCCCCCCCGCCTTTTTAATCCTCTCTCCCACTTAGGAGCAGCTCCATCCAGGCCTTGCAATTTAATCTTAGTAGCAGCCTTGACTGCTTCCACTGCTATTGGATATATAAACCCTCTGTCCCAATCTGCCAGTTCCTTAAGAACACAGGAGTTCTGATGCAGAGATAGTGAATGGGGCAGGTCTACATGATGGAAGAGGTTTGCACAGAGTGAAATCTCTGCTGAATTGAATAAGGAAACCTGCCCGTGCAGGTGAGCCACTCTGAGGGGGCACACAGAAGGAGAGTGCAGACATTTACTCTCTCTGGTGCATTTGGGTTTTGTTTTCCAGCACACCAAGCAGATGTAAAAAAAAAAAAAAGCATGGTATTGTCAGGGGGAAGATAGTGCAGACCTAAAGGGCTCTTTTTGTTCTTGGGGTTGAGTCATTTCCACCCAGTGGAGGATGGGTCCCATAGCGTGAATGAGCCATTGCACTACCAACTTCAGTCTGCCCTCAGTCGGTTCCTACCTGCCTGCCTTTTACTTACAACCAGTCCAGAGGATGGCACTAGCTGCTTGATTGTTCCTCCTTAGCCAAGGTGTTGCAAGGGGGACAAAATGAGTGCTACCTGCCATTGGCTCTAGCTCCACCTACTGTTGGCCTCCTGCTTTGTACCCTACCATACCGAAACATTGGAATTCCATTGGAATTTGCACACCCAAATTTCTCAATGCAATTCTCCAGCCAAATAATTTCTACAAAAATGCATGTAGGGGGAAAATTGCATAAAAATGAATATATTCGTGAAAATAACATTAAAAATGTGGCATATAAGGGGAAATTGCTTACAAAAATGTGTGTGTTGGTTAAAGGAAGATACAGAGATGTGTTTATTAGGAGAAATTTGCACTGACGTGATGGTTTGTTTATGAGGATTAAAACCAAAAAAATCACAAATTGCTGTAGAAATGTGGTGAACTGAATTTAAGAGATAGGAAAAATGAGACATTGAGAGGCCCCAAACTGACAGATCCTTCCACCCTGAAGGAATAATTTTTTAAAAACCACCTTGCACAGAGCTTGGAAAAAAGATTCTCTTCCACAGATGTGTGTACGAAAGGGCAAGTTGGCAGCACAGTGAGCCCTCAGGAAGCTATTTTGCATTGAGTCAGGAAAGATCAATGAGAGGGTTGCAGTGAGGGAGAGGTGGCGGGGAAGCAGTGGGAAATGACAGAGAAAACAGCCAAAATGGAGAGGAAGGGGGAGAAGCAGCTGAAATGACGTGATGAGTGAGTCTTACATGATGTGGGGTGGGGAAGAATGAACAACTTGCATTTATCATGGGGAGAAAGGCTCTGGCTTGCATGGCGCTGCTGGCAGTGCTGGTGGGGGGACAGGACAAAGATATGGAGAAAGGGGGTTAAAAAGAGAGAAATTGTGGATGGACAAAACCATGGAGCGAGGGTGTGGAAAAACTATTTTAACCTGTCCACAACTGAATGCAGGATAGTTTGCACATGAGAGTTGGTAGCTCTGAGACAGGCAGGTCTGTCCCACCCAACAGCTTAATTAATCCATTCAAAAGCAGCCTAGAATGGGAGTGCAAACATTATTTTGCAGCAGGATACGTGCGCCAGTAAGGCATCCTTGATGCAGACGCGGACCCCTTTGCCCTTGTTACTTAGAAACCTCAAGCACTTTGCATTTTCCCTACCATTTGGAATATATACACCAGCTATAAAGTGATATACTTAAAGAATCCCTGCACTTTGTACAAATGGCTATTTATGATGTGCCGTCAATACTACTCTTTGGAGAGGAGAGCGTGGGGGATTGATGGAGCGCTGAGCCTAATCC